AGAGAGAGAGACACTGCCCAAGCGTTCAGAGACATGAGAGAATACAAAGTGGTCGTGTTGGGATCCGGCGGCGTGGGAAAATCGGCGCTGACCGTGCAGTTCGTCACCGGATCCTTCATTGAGAAGTACGACCCGACGATAGAGGACTTCTACCGCAAGGAGATCGAGGTGGACTCGTCGCCGTCGGTGCTGGAGATCCTGGACACGGCGGGCACCGAGCAGTTCGCCTCCATGCGCGATCTGTACATCAAGAACGGCCAGGGCTTCATCCTCGTGTACAGTCTGGTCAACCAGCAGAGCTTCCAGGACATCAAGCCCATGCGCGACCAGATCATCCGCGTCAAGCGCTACGAACGCGTGCCCATGATCCTGGTGGGCAACAAGGTGGATCTGGAGGGCGAGAGGGAGGTGTCTTCCGGGGAAGGCAAGGCGCTGGCGGACGAGTGGAACTGCCCGTTCATGGAGACTTCGGCCAAAAACAAAGGCTCTGTGGACGAGCTGTTCGCGGAGATCGTGCGGCAGATGAACTACGCGTCGGCGCCGAGCGGAGACGACCAGTGCTGCGCGTCCTGCGCGATTCTTTAAACCCGAGCGCGACTTCTGGTTTCTCGTTCGCGTTTGTTGCCATGGTGAGAGCGCAAATAACGACGGAGAACAAAACACGACAGACATCGCTTAATTCTGCCGTGGGGGGAAAAGTTCGGCCGAAAACCGAAGTTCTGGCACCTTTCATCGCGAATTAAGAGCTGGCAGAACTTTTAGTTTTGGGGAAACCGTCGCCTTAAAGGAGCCGTTCACCCAAAAATGAGAGTTCCGCTATCATTTATTGTATGAGTTTCGTCTGCTGAACACAAAAGAAGATGTTTTGAAGAATGTTGCTAACCGAACAGCTGTTAGTCCCCTTAGTATGAAAAAAAAAAGTGCTATGGACCAGAAACGGTCTTTTTTGTTTTCTTTCCGGCGGAATACAGATGACAGAACTTTGGTTTTCGGTCGACCTGTCGCTTTAACTGTCATCAGTATTCCTATAAGTGTCCTACCATGTCTTGCACACGACAAAAGAATATTGAAACAAGTGTTTACATGACAGAATACTTGAATGTTCTGGGATTATATCAATATATATATAACCAACACGTTTAAATCAGAGGCACTTGAGGGGGGTTTGTTTTCAGGTGCCTGGCTGTGACGAACGCTAGTAATTAGTTTGTTGTTTGTATTTTATTTTGGAGGTGTGTTGCAGGACTGTTGAGGATCAGTGGATCACTCTTCAGGATTTACAGCACACCATTGATGTCAACACAAGTGTCTTGCACTCTCAACTGGAACTTAAACCCCAAAAACGTGGAGGTTAAAGCGGCTGTGTGTTGCTCATGGACTTGGAAACCCTTGTTGTGAATCGTACAAAGTATTGCTTTCCGTGACGTCACAATTGAAACCACTCTCACGAGCCACTCCCCCATTGAGCGCACGAGGACTTTACTGTTTTGACGCGTCGAGTGCCTTCCAAAAACCTGTTCAAGAGTTTAGTGCCAACCTGCAAGAGTCCCGGTTCAGTGCTTAACTGTTACACTTGCTAATGGTTTCGGGGGTTAACGACGTTTAAAAGGCCTATTGTTTCTTTGTTTTAGTTTTTCTCCAATACAGGTACTGAAGCCCCCAGACTCAAACCACGAACCACTGTCTGTATGAAATCACATGTTTTATTTAGTTTTTAACAAATGTGATGTACCATTGAAATTCTAATCCGATTGTACGTTTAATTTCAGACTAGCGTTTTAACAGCTGTCTGGTTGTTTTAAACGAGACTTTTAATACATGCATTTTTAAAAAAAACTTCATGCACAGTGTTTGTTTGCCCTCCTTTCATTTGAGAAGCGATCCGAAAGTGAATGCTAACCTGCTCTCTTTCTCGTAAGCAGCTGGTGATTCTGCGTAATTTGCGCTGGTATTCTGCCTGACAGGTCTGATGTCTAATGCTGTTTGGTGACACTGTAAACACATGTAGCGTTGGGTGGAGTTACAGTAGGGCTGGTTCTGCACTGGATAAATGATGACTTAAAGACACACGCAGCGGCTTCGTGTCGAACAGATGTTTGCTCAAGGTTTAGAAATAGCCGTGTTTAAGATCAGGCGTTGGCCGCTGCGCGTAATTACACATGTGTGACGTGTTCCTGTGCTTCCCAAATGTCTTAATGTTGGGTTTTAAGGCTAATACTGCATTTTTCAGTCAAACCGCAGGAATTGAAGGTAATAGCGTCGTCTCTGAGGAGTCACTAGTTGTCTTGCTGGGTGGAGTTCGATATAATTTTAGATGCTTTTGCCACTTTGTATTTAAAAAGTGCTCGATTTGTGAAGTTTTAGCACTTTGTTGGTCAGTATGGGCTACGCTTGTGCAGCTTTTATTGACGTGCTTGTTTGCACTATTAAAAAGAGAGCTCATCCAAAAACAGTCATCATTTCTCTCCTCATGTTGTTTCAAACTGACTTTATTCTATGAAACACTAAAGATATTTTGAAAAATGTTGGTGAACAAATAGCTTGATGTGAAATAGTCTTTATATGTGTTCCACAGAAGAGTCAAACAATAGTTTGGAAAGATAAGGGGTTGGGAGTAATGACAGAATTTAAGTGAACCGTCCCTTTAATCTACATATTTCTGATATCTCAACGTGCCGTCGACATTTTTAAAGAGACAGTTCACCCCAAAATTAAAATGGTCATTATTTACTCTCCGCCAAGCTGTTTTAAACCTGTACGAGTTTCTTTCAGCTGCTGAACACAAAAGAAGATATTTTGGAGAATGATTTTGAAGACTGTTGGAAACCAAACAGTTGCTGGTAGTCAGTGACTTCCATATTATGGGGGAAAATACTATGGAAGTCAATGGGGACCAGCAACTGTGATTGACAGAATTTTCATTTTTGGGTGAACGGTCACATTCAATACTATTGTTATTGGTTTTATGACTCCAGACTAACTCACAGAATTTGTATTAAAATTTTCAATTTATGTTTTTATATTTTTTGTTTTCGTTTTTTAATATTAGTTAAGGCTTTAGTAATTTTTTTGCCATTTTATTATTATTATTGTTCATTTTTATTTTTATTAATTTTTTAGTTGTTTTAGTACATCAAGTTAATACAGAAAAAAAATTGAAATAAAAATAAATTTTTATACATTTTATTTCAGGTAACTGTTATTTTATTTCAACATTTTTGTTTTTGTTTTTTATGGTTTTTAGTTTTATTTTGTCCAGTATCTGTAAAGATGGACTTTTATTTGTTTTAACTCCTTAAGGAGTCTTTACTTTTTAACTGATTCATGGAGACCACGGGCCGGTTGCATAAACTGATTAAGATAATCTGTTGACGTGTATTTATATATAGAGAGTATATATATATATGTATACTATTTTTCAGATTATTCTCAAATCTTGTTGGGTGGTAATTTTTTTTAATTATTCATAATGTTAATTTTTACTTTAACTCTTCACTCAAATGAAAAGATAATCTATTAAGGCATTTTCTCCGTATATACATATATACATATTTACGTATACATATACACAATTTACATGATGTGTGTGTGTGTGTGTGTGTGTGTGAATTAATTAATTGTTGTTTAAAAAGTGGTCAGTGTGACTCTGCATTAGTCACCTATAAATTGAGGACAATATTAAATAAAGTAAAATAAATGTAAAAGATATATATATATATATATATATATATATATAATTTTTTTCACTCTGTTATAATTTGAAATACAAACGTCATCTCTTAAGGCATTTTCACCAGTGGTCTCAGATTTTTGGACCTCAGTGTTATATGATTTTTGTGTGTAAACAATGGTTTTAAACTCTAAATAAGATATTGGAAAGGTAATCACACAGCTGTTTACCTTCTGAGTATCTTTAAGATATTCATCAGTGAAACCTTTCGGTTTTGCAGAACATTTTGTGTCCTGTGACACAGTAACCCAATTGTGTAAAGGACAGCGTTGCTGAAATGTTATCTAGTCAGTCATTGTTTCTCTAGACAAACCTCAGGTATGAGGGGAATGATCATGTGACGCGGCGAGCGCACACGAGACCGTACGACTCCAGACCGTCTCCGCTCAGATCTTTAGCACAGTTTCAATGTTAAAGTCAGCTGAATTTCCTCTGAAAGCATGTGGAAAGTCCACGGACTGCATTAGTGCAAAACAACAGTGTCACTGTAATGTTCGTCAGCATTGATGTTATGATTGACAGCTGCTTGTTTGTTATTTTTTAAACACGAAGCATTGTTACGCAGGTTTCGGTAATTTTTTTCACTCTGTTATAATTTGAAATACAAAGATCATCTCTTAAGGCATTTTCACCAGTGGTCTCAGATTTTTGGACCTCAGTGTTATATGATTTTTGTGTGTAAACAATGGTTTTAAACTCTAAATAAGATATTGGAAAGGTAATCACACAGCTGTTTACCTTCTGAGTATCTTTAAGATATTCATCAGTGAAACCTTTCGGTTTTGCAGAACATTTTGTGTCCTGTGACACAGTAACCCAATTGTGTAAAGGACAGCGTTGCTGAAATGTTATCTAGTCAGTCATTGTTTCTCTAGACAAACCTCAGGTATGAGGGGAATGATCATGTGACGCGGCGAGCGCACACGAGACCGTACGACTCCAGACCGTCTCCGCTCAGATCTTTAGCACAGTTTCAATGTTAAAGTCAGCTGAATTTCCTCTGAAAGCATGTGGAAAGTCCACGGACTGCATTAGTGCAAAACAACAGTGTCACTGTAATGTTCGTCAGCATTGATGTTATGATTGACAGCTGCTTGTTTGTTATTTTTTAAACACGAAGCATTGTTACGCAGGTTTCGGTGGAAAAAGGAAGTTTTCGTGTAGTGCTTGTTTCTGTTCAGCCACTGCCAGGAAAGTAGGTGACAGATAACAGAGCGATGCTCTTCAGTCACGCTCTCAGCAGTCGCTCCGCTTCAGCCAAACGCATGTGTTTACGCAACAGAGCTTCTGTAAATGCCTGTCGAAAGTTCACGTCCAGATCCTCCCGGGAGAAAGTCTCTCTGAACCCAACGTTTCTTCTCTTTGAGTCTGTCAGTGTAGATGTTACTCCGTCTGTGTCCAGGTCTGTCTTCAGTCTCAGTGACCCACATCGTCCACACAGACGCTCACTCATTATTCTCTGTGCTTTAAAGCTCCTACATCACAGGGATGTCATTACATTGCTTACGTTTTCCGAGGGAGAAACGCTGTTGCCTTCAGGGTCTGTGGAACCTTATTTAGTCTTATTTCTACATAAAGAGGAACCTTTATCCCTGGAGTTGTGTTGAGATTTGAGGCTCCAGAGAACACAGTGATTCATGTGTGATTCTCAAATCAATCTCTCATGAATGATTTTCACGTGATCCAGTAGAAGGTGTTGTTTAAGCTTTAACTCTCTGTTGTAGGATAAAACAGGAGTAAACTTCTCAGAAATGGCATTTTTAATTGTTAATATATGTGACCCTAGAGCACAAAACCAGTCATAAGGGTCAATTTTGTGAAATTGAGATTTATGCATCATCTGAAAGCTGAATAAATAGGCTTTCCATTGATGTATGGTTTGTTAGGATAGAACAATATTTGGCTGAGATACAACTATTTGAAAATCTGGAATCTGAGGGTGCAAAAAAATCTAAATATTGAGAAAATCATCTTTAAAGTTGTTCAAATGAAGTTCTTAGCAATGTATATTACTAATCAAAAATTAAGTTTTGATATATTTACAGTAGGAGATTTACAAAATATCTTCTTGGAACATGATCTTTACTTAATATCCTAATGATTTTTGGCATAAAAGAAAAATGTATAATTTTGATCCATACAATGTATTGTTGGCTATTGCTACAAATATACCCCAGCGACTTAACACTGCTTTTGTGCTGCAGGGACACAAATATCGCTAAAAAACATTCAATGACACTATGATCAAGACGTATTGCATTTTGCTGATGTTTTTTCTTCTTCTCAGAATTGTGTGATATAAACTCACAATTGTGAGAAAATAAGTCACAATTGCACAACATGCAGTTACCTACAGGCTTCCACAGATGTTTCAGTGATCTGTCACCCTTCAGTCATCTAGTTCCTGACTGACTTCTGTGACGCACAACAAATGTTTAACATGTTTAGTGACTGAACATCACATGAACAAACCAGAGAGCAGCAATCTGCTACCTAGTTCTTTTTATTATACGTGTTTTATTCTATTTTAATATCTGAATGTTAATTTGAAACAAAAATAAAAAGCTAGATGTCAGTTAGATAAATTAGATATCAGTCTACATGTGCTTCATGACATAATATCTTTGCTATGTCCTTTGAAGGTGTCCACATACAAAAGAGTTGAAGTGGAAGCAACTCGACCTGTTTTACAGAATGCAGAAGTTGTTGCTCATAACCCACATTGACTTCCAGTGAATGGACAAACTGTGTTACGCTGAAGAGCGTCAGTCATACAGGTTTGAAATGACTGTAGAGTAATTAGTTTGATTTAAAGTATGTTTTTGGGTTGTCAAACGGAACATGAGAAAATGAAAGGTTATCGAGCGACACGTGTCCGTGTAAACTGGTTAGCCACCATCCCTAATGCATAATAATCTCCCAGTTCTGCCATTGTTTAAAAACGTCTGAAGCTTTCAAGCTGTGCTGGATCATAAAGTGTGTCCATCTTTATACAGGAAGTCGTGTTCTTGTGTTCTGAGTGTCACCACATCCATGTCGATGGTGGAGGATCTGAATGTTTGTCAAACAGGAGCTGGTGAGCACGCCGTCACTGCGAGCTGTGAACTCTGATTGCATCTCTGATGCT